CCTCTGTCCTGGACATACAAATAATTTGCACAGACAATTTTCCGGGTAATGATGCAAGTTGGACAGCAGGGCTGGGTATAGCGGGTATTCCCAACTTTAAATGGGGCCCAGATGCAATCTTCCCATTAAACCACTGCAGTACTTCCTAAAGTTGTGCCCGTTAACAAGCCACAATTTTAGGAAATGTATGGGCCACTACAGGAGCGCCCATATTCATCCGACTAGAAACGTTTCTGCTCTATTTTTTTTCCGCGGCCCATAGCTGGACCAAGTACTGGTGGTTTAAGGGAAAAAACAAGAAAAACATCAAGATTTTTTTTTTTCTTTATTTTTGTGCCAAGTACTGGTGGTTTAAGGGGAATTTTTTTTTTTAAAAAGAAAAACATCAAGATTTTTTTTTCTTTATTTTTGGTCCTTTTCCATTTGCTCGCTGTCCTTGAGACCATTTCGCGATTGTCCATGCTAATCTCCTCTGTATCGTTCCACGTTTAACGGGCATCCAAATTTGTAAAGTCCAGGTTTTTTTTATTTTTTTATTTTTTATGGAAACGCTTGTAGTTGGCCCTCAGGCGCCTGGTCCTTTTTTGCTCCTCCCCAATAAAGAAAAGCAAAGCATGGAATGCTTGCATGTTATCTCTTCGTGACCTGCACTCTCTCTTGTGAGCTGGTTCGCACGCTTGCAAGTCTCTATAACAATAGAGCAATTTCCCTCCTCAGCAATTTCCCTCCTCGGCAAGTTCCCTCCTCAGCAATTTTCCTCATCGGTGGAGCTGAGCTGCGAGCAGGAACTGTCTGGTCCTGTCTGGCATGGACAAGTCGATTTATCTGTTAATTTTTCTTTTTCTCTTGTTTTGTTTATAAAGAAAATGCGCCTTCGGCCTCAGTAAGGCATCCTTGATCTATGCGTGTCATCCTTGCGCAGGGGCCATGCTAATCTTCTCTATATCGTTCCAATGTTAACCAGGGTATTTTTCTTTTTGTTTTTCCAACGTAATCCCATCTGTCAGTGTTGAAGACCGTGCTGCATTGCCTTACATGCACACGCTCGAGTGAAGCCTCACATGCACATGCAACGTGAACTGACTCCAGCGAATCGGACGTTTATGGCTGGGGCCAGACCTGTCTGGTCAGGTCTCCCAGGTGAAGTAGGGGGGTCGCTTCATTTTGGCCTTGCGAAGTCTATAGTAGCCCCGACCCACTGCTGACCATGATGAGCCGAAGTGCAGCGCACCAGTCTCGTCTTTGTTTTTTGTTTTTCTATCCAGAAATTGGATCATTCCTCGATTTATGCGTGTAATCCTCGCACAGAGGCCATGGTAGTCTTCTCTGTATCTTTCCAATTTTTGACGGATGTTCGAAAGGACTACGATCTTCCCCTCCCGAACATAACACACCCTGATAATGAATGCATAGAAGCTATCTTTCTGGTTCGATACATCCAAAATGAGAGTGTGTTCTATTCGGGAGAAGATGGAAGCGGACAACTCTCGTTTGGAGGTGCATGTCACTGCGGCCGCTGTGGTGGCAGAACAGAAAAGGGATGCGGCAGACTGAAGAAGTGTGTTTGTTCTATGTCTATGGGCTGTGTGGTCGATCTGCTTATCGGGCGACGCTGTGGAAGGAAGGTGCATGTCACCACGGCCGCCGTGGCGGCAGAACAGAAAAGAGATGCGGCAGACCGAAGAAGTGTGTTTGTTCTATGGGCTGTGCCGTCGATCTGCTTATCCGGCAATGCTGTGGAAGGAAGGGCGTACTCACACCAGAAAATGTTTTTCTGATCGTGGAACGTTATTACGGTCAGATTCATGAAGAACGTGACGTAATGGCAATCAGATATGTGCAAAATGCTTGGTATTTGCGTTAGCCCCCCCCCCCCCCCCCCCCAACAAACACACACACACACATCGGCGGCCCCACCCTACTCCCTGACCACTGCCGATTAGGGCCGGGGGCAACATGCAGGGGTCCCCTGTATAGGCTTACGAGTAGTGGAAGGTAGGTAGTGAAAGGTGAAATTGCGAGAATAATATATTCTAGTCCTCCGCAATATTGCCCCCCCACCGCCTATGGTTATAATATTCTAGTCCTCCCCAATATTGCACCCCCCCCCACCTATGGTTATGCCAATTTACTGTATCTCTGGACCCGCTTTGCTTTGCGCAGATTGTCGGCGGCCGCCAGATGATTGAGTGCAGAGTTTGGAGAGTGAGTGGAACCATGTCACTCCATTCGCTGAATGAGTTTTGGGGTTTTGGGTGGGTGGAACCGCACCACTGCACTGGCTTAAACCACCAGTACCTTTCTTATAAGTCGGCCGCGGCCCCTGTGCACCAAGCTTTGCGGCCGCATCTGGCTGCCCCTGCCAGCCACAATCGGCCTGCGCGTTACCCGGTGTGTTTCGGCAGAATGGCTGGGAAAGGTACCGGTGGAAAGAGTGTTTTGGGGTTTAGGGTGAGGGGAATCATGCCACTCACTGAATGACTTTTTCGGGCTGAGAAAGAGTGATGCTGAGTGGAAACCAGTACTGGTGGTTTAATGAGTGTTGGGGTTTTGGGTGAGGGGAACCATGCCACTCACTGATAGACTTTTTGGGCTGAGAAAGAGTGATACTGAGTGGAAACCGCTCGTCAGAACAGTCGATTGTTGTGAAGTGAGCGACTGGTCGAACCAGCAGGGCCCTGATTGTTCAAAATGGTGAGTGTATTTATTTGTGATATAATGTAGCAAGCTGTGCCTGTCTCTGCCCTGATTGGTTCCTTGACTGTCCATAAGTCAACGAGCCAGCGGGACCTCGATCATTACGTAAGCCACCTAAGTTAGTTGAAATTTGGAGGAGGAGGGTCGTCCGGGACATCAGTTGAAACAATTGGAACGGTACAGAAAATTAGCATGGGCCCAACACAGACCTTGACCATTCCGTGAGGTACCTGGTAAAGTCTTTGGCTACATACGTCTGTTGCCCCGCCCAGCTACTCCTGAGTATGCCTGCCGCTCAACCAGGGGCTTCACCGACGGGCCTGGATCAGTTGGTACACCTAGCGAACTGTTGAAATACAGACCCGAGTTCGAATCCAGATTGCAGGAGTTGAAAGGAAGAGAGCAAACAAAAAAAAAAAAGGAGAAAACTATGGTGCAGTCAGGGTTTGAGTTTGAAAATGCACTTGTTGAGGCAAAAGGGCCTGTAATGGTGAATGTATATAACCTAGGTTTCGGGTCCGGTGTGGTCACGTGGGGGTGTGTTGTGTTCGGGGCAATGCCTGAAGTGCACTTTCAAACTGTTTTCGTGACTGCGCCATGCGGGGGTGTGTTATATTTGGGGGAATGCCTGAAGTGCATTTTCAAACTGTTTTTGTGACTGCCATAGTTACCCCCCCCMCCCCCCCCCCAAAAAAAAAAAGAAAAAAAAGGGGCTTCAGATAGGGTTACTAGAGGGGGGGCGTCCCAAGGAGGGGGGCAGAGAATTTTGAATTTACCAGGGGCCGTGGATAGGGGCAGTCGCAGGGAAGAGGCGAAGAATTGAGTTTACGTGCTTAGGCGATTTTTGCTGTCATCTCGAACCTTCAAAATATATACATCAAAATATATATATGTTTTCTGTGCAATGATTTGTGAGGCCCAGGAGAACAAGGCAATTCATAGGGGAAAAGGAAAGAACAAAACAAAACAATTCATAGGTAGCATCCGCACTCAGCTCAATAACTTGGCTAATGATTTATTCTTCTTGCAAACTCAGCGCTGACCTGTGTTGAGTTTTCATACATTTAAGGTACCTACCTTGCAAACTCAGCACTGTACTGTGTTGAGTTTTCATACATTAAAGGTACCTACCGCTACTCCTATAAGCCTATGCAAGGGATGCCTGCAAGCATAGCTGCCTTTCTACCTCTCTCACAATCAAGGGGATGCGTGGTCCCCCCCCCCCTAATAGGCGGTGGTCAGGGAGTTGGGTGGGGCCGCCTGGCAGGGAGTGGGGCAGCGGGGCAGCTAACACAAAGACCGAGCATTTTGCCAGTAGCTACACCTCCCATATACTTCCCCCACCCCAATAGAGTAACAGCAGTATCTAAGGAGAACAGTCTCCCACACACTACACACAACCCACACACCTGTGCACACACTTCATTGGAAGAGTCGCGTCAATAAAAAAAAATCTGAAAATGATCATGCATGGAGGGTGCATGCTGCTGTGCAAGGGAAAAATACTGCAAAAGTAAGATTCTTTTTTTGCATCAAGAAAAGTATATCTGATGCAAATGCAAGGCACATGGGTCTGCCCTACCAGGCCCAACCCCACAACGGTTCTTGGTACTCCAAACACGGGCAAAATCAATTGTTGGGAAAATGAGGCTGGAGGTACTTAAAGATATGGAGACGATTAGCATGGCTCCTGCGCAAGGATGACACACACAAATCGAGATATGGAGACTTTGGTATTTCCCATATGCCTGTTTATTAAACTCTTGACGTCACAAACCACCTGGCTGTCTGCATGACCAAGTGGAAATCATGCACTTGCATGTCTGCACATTCAGGGTGCATTCTGACTTGGGGTGAGGTAAATGCAGAGGTGACAGAGACTGGATATTGATGCTAAGTGGGTGAGTGACCCAGAGCCACAAGTTCTGTTTCAATGAAGGAGACTTGGAGGTGGCGGGGTTAAAAGAAAAAGGTTCTAATGTACAGTGATGCCCTCACATGTAGGTGGGGACTCCACTGATGTTCGAAGGAAAGAAAATATATGACTGACACGCTTGCAATTCCATTTGTATGGGTGTTCGAAGGAAAATAAAGTACATGAGCCGAACGTGACCAGTTGCATTGTATGTGTGTGTGACCTGCTGGAAGTAGAAATAATGCATGGGTAGGTTGGGAATCCAGTGGCATTTGTAAAAGGACATTAAGGACATGACCCCCAAGTGGCCGGCTAGTTGCATTTGTCTGGGTGTGCTTCATGTCAGTGTGATCAGGCAAATGTAGTTGGCAATGCGGCTGCGCAGTAATCGCTTTTTGGCTACGACTTGTTGATAAATCTTCGTAAGTAACTCTAGAGGGGTTTACGTGATGCCTTGTGGACTGAGTCATTTGGTTGTGCTTGTGCACCAGATAGGCTGCGGAATGAGGCAGGAAGCAATGGCCTTTTCTGTTGATTATGTAGCATGCTTATTTTTGTGTCTTTCTCATGCAACTCACTCTGTTGCTCTGGTGTTTTGTTGTGCTCTTTCTTGTGTGTGTGCGTGTGTGTGTGTGTGTGTGTGTGTGTGTGTGTGTGTGTGTGTGTGTGTGTGTAAGTGGAACGTGTGTATGTGTGCCATTTCTGTACTGCTTTTGCTTGTACGTGTGGTTTATTATTATTATTATTATTTTTCTGTTTGACATGTCTGGATAAGTTTTGCCCATTTATCTGTGTGAGAGGTCTGTCATCGACTTGTTTGTCGCTGCCCCCCTTCCTTTTTGTTCGAGTATGACATGTGTTTGGGGTTTTGCCTGCCTTTGTGTGCAAGTTGGTTGTGCTGTATACATGTGGAACACGTGGGCCGATACATGTGCTGCTGCAAATTCCATCAACTCACTTGTGATGTGGCGACGGTGAAATGGCACATTTCTGTTTGCCATATGCCATGCGCAGTTCTTCGTTGGAGGCAACTGGAAATGTGTAAGTACTGAATATTGGACTTCAAGTAATCATAAAAGTTGATAAAACAGGATAAGATAAAGAACATAAACTTCATAAAGTTAAGAATGAGAAAAGAAAGCATAGAAAAGGGAGATTGATGTATTGAGCTAGGTTAGAGACTCCCTATGTCCCCCCCCCCAAAGTCTGAGAAGTGCCGCTGTCAGCATTGCCAAGGCCTAATTTCTATTTTCTTCCCGCAGGATTGAGCAGAATGTGCCACTAAAACATGATGATGTGTTTTTTCTTTTTTGGAACGGAAAGGTTTATTAATGGCCTCAGTGCCTGAAGCCTTGGTCTGTATCTGCTTGTTGTTCTGTCCTCTTTCATTCTACGTTGACTTCATTTCCTATGGAAATCTGGCATTACCTTGTCGTCGGGTCTTGTTCCGCTACTCACTACTCACATAATATGCTAATTGCGTCGATTTTTCACCTTCAAAATTCTGTCGTCTTTTGGACCGTATTCCTCCTCTTCCGTCATTTCGTTTTTGCTTTTCCTTATTTCCATCGGTAGTGAATCACTCTGCTTAGGCAGTGACATGAAGCATACAAATGCTGGGATTTCTCGGATGTATCTGGTTGGGTCTGGATTTATCTGATTGGAATTATGTCTAGAAATCAGTCGAAAGAGTGGTATTGTGCACATGGCCTTAATCGCCTTCCCCCTCCCCTCCTTTTTCCATCTCCCTTTTTCCATCGCCCTTCCTCCCTCTCTTGTCCCTATCTCATCCCTCACTCCCTTCTCCCCTCTCTCAGTCTGTCCCCTCCCTCCCTCCCTCCCACCATCCATCCGTCCATTCAACTCCATTGCTTTCTATGTACCCTGGTGGAAGAACGGTCTTATGTGTGGGCTTCAACACTTACAGAAAGTCTGAATCGTAACACCCTGCTTCGGATTTGATACCTCGTCAAGGAATATGATTCCATTCAGAGGTCATAATGGACCAGATTCGGGAGCATGTGAATAACCGCACTGGTATTGACATTCATGCATGCCTATTCTGTTCTCTAGGTTGTTGAGCGGGTTGGTTTGTGCAAGAGGATTCAGTCTTGGTGTAAATGAGTTGACTTGCTGACTCATCGCTGCATTGCGTGACCTCACAGAGACATGTACTTGTTGCTAACGCCGACTTTGCATTTCTCCAATTGAGCTGTGTTTGCCGTGCCTGCCATCGGCATGCTATGCTACCAGTGGTGCTGCTCATGTAGCTGGTCACAAGCGTACTAGCAGTTCTGGTTACGTAAATGGAGAGATGTGGAGGCAGTAGCGGGGAAGCGAACCAAGAGCGTTTGGAACACGTTCTGCACGCCCGGTCACCTGATGACACATGCCTATCCATCTGGCCAGGCAGGACCCCGGGTGGGGTCCCGGGCACTGCAAACAACCGTTGGCTGAGGGTCACGTCGGAAGTCCTTATAGATGAGAAAGAAAATTCAAATTTCAAACTAAGGTATCCACATTTAAGCCGCCCAGTACTTTTCCCAGACGTTTTTGTTGCCATGCGGACATAAATGCGCTGCGCCCTTGGGGCTTAGCCTACCAGACCGGAATGGCTGGTCATGCCAGGCGAAAAGGGGAATAATGCACCCACGCCGGTTTGTTTTTTCAGCACACAGCAGAAAGCCATGTCGGGAAAAAGAGGCTGAGAAGTAGTGCTGGTTTCAATCCCCTTAAGCCCCTTTCAACCCCATTTATACCTGCTTCGTTGAGCGCGGAAAGGGCCCAATGTGGGGGAGGGGGAAAAAAACGTATTCTGGATTTGTTGCGTGTGCGGGTGACCCGGGTGGCAGACCCCCACGGGCAAGTTGCCGACTGCCCGGCCGTGCTCGGGGATCTTCCTACCGTCTTTACCCGAATAGGATGCTCAGTCATTATCGCTGCATCTGGACTGAAAGTTGGGCCAAATGCAGCTATAATGACCGGGCGTTCTATTCGGGTGAGGACGGTAGTAGTAGTTAAGAAGAATTTAGGTGCTGGATGGAGCACCGGGCTGCAATGCATTGTTGCTAGAAAAAAAAGATCATCGGAGTACACATGAATTTTCATTTCACCCTGCCCTCTGCTGAAAATCTATGACGATGTTGCATGCAGAATGGCACAAGAGAATCGGTGAAAAAGCTGGTCGCTGATTTGAATGCTGCCTCGATCGCCGATGATGTTGGTATGTATTGGCCTTGGCCTGGAGTTATGCTCCGTCTGTGTGTATTTTTGTCCCTTGCTATGTCTCTTTTTCTGAGTGTCCCTTTATCCTTGTCCTGGTGTGTGTTTGTCTGTCCCTCCACGTCTGCCTCTCCCCCACGCACGTGTGCATGCTTTGCTTTTGTCCCTGCTTTCTTCTGTGTATCTCTCAATGCTGTTCTCAACATTTTCGACTTTTTCGTATTTATGCCCGTGCTAGAGGATACCTTTTTTTCGACTTTTTTGTATTTATGCCCGTGCTAGAGGATACCTTATTCTTTTGTGTGCGTGCATTTCTCCCCCCCCCAAGGGGATATAGTACTTAATACTGTTATTGTCGTATGCACCTGACTTCATCAGCTTTTGAACTGATCACCTTTTTTCCAAAGCTTGTATGTTTGCAGTCCTTCCGTTTGGCCACATGGGCGTGGTATTATTGCCTTTGTTTTTGTTTATGAGAGGGATGACTATCCTCGTCAGATTGGTCTGATCGCAGAAGAATATCGTCCTTGTGTCTTCCTGGTACACATTCCTTGTGCCATCCCTGTATTCTCCTTGTGTTTTCCGCATCCAGCTGTTTGTCAGGATTCCATGGTGGAAATAGTGGGATTGCTTCCTATGAACTGCGTTTATTCATGCAGCTGGATGATTCCCAGATCTTCCAGCAATTGTTTAAGATCATGATGACGTTTTGTGAGCTACGCAAGTGATTCGTGTGGGCTGTGATGCTGACGTTAATTGAAAAGTACCCTATCGAATTGTGAGAAATGTCGGTGGGTGTTACTTTTCATGGCTGTGGCTACGTGAACGTCGTGAAGCAAAGACTTGTACTGCCTGTATAAGTTGAATGTTGTGCCTCCAACCCACACTCTTCTTCCTTCATTGCAAGCGGGTGCTCTGCCTATGGTTGATGGAAAGTCAGCTCTCCCCAGTTTGTTTTGTTCTTTTTCTGTGGCTCTTGGATACTGGCAACATCCGACTTGACTATGCCAAAGTCTCTCTCTCTCTCTCTCTCTCTCTCTCTCTCTCTCTC